ATATTTGGAAAGAACTGAAATAGCTATTTCTGAGTTAGTAAACTGTAAATAATGTAGGAAAAATCAAAATATTAGGGAAGTGAAAGATATATGGCATTTCTTCTGTACACTATATAGTGTAGGCATGAGAAAAGTAAGGCATATTTTAGTGTTAAATAAGAAAACTGTTTTTAAAAATAAATAAGGCTGCAAACCATAGGCTTGAATGCATGGAACTCCAATGTGTTAGCAGCTCTTCAGGCACCTGAGTGGTAGAACTAGCAAGTATGTATATTTTGTATATTTTATCAGCAATCCAACATTACATGTAATCTTTGGTTTATGACAGTTTAATGATGGTTCCGTTACAACAGCCTCAGGAAAAATTACTTACTATGTGTACTCACATTTATGACTGTTACATTACCTTCACAGTCATGTGATCACAATTCAGGCACTTGGAAACCAGGTCATATTAAAAACTGGTTGCAGCATTTTGCAGTCACATGATTGTGATTTGCAACCTTTTTTTTTTTTTTGTCAATTTCTGGCAAAAAAACAACAACACCTATTGGGGAAGCTGACTTTGGCTTAATGATCACATGATTAACTTCATGACTGATGATGATTTGATTTGCTACTGTAAAAACTAACATAAAATTGGGTCAGACTCAATTTACGGCCACAATGACTTACAATGGAAATTTTGGTCCCGACTGTAAACCTAAATTGAGGAGTACTTGTATCAAAGAAAGATGGCCCACTTCCAAATGAAACTCAATTTTGCTGCTCACCTGAGCTGCGTATTCTGCTTCTTTGTCCTTTTCCAAGCTGGAATCGCAGGTACATTTTTGTTTTATTACCTGCTCTAGCTTCTTCTCTAAATCTCTTTGTTCAACATAAAACTCTTGCATTCTTTGAGCATGCTCAGTCTGCAAAGATTCAAGTTCTTTTTGTAAATTTTGTTGCTCTTCTGTCAGCTCCTTCATGGCTTTGGAACTACTTAACATTTCAACTTCCTATGAAAAAATGACAATCATATAGAGTTTTCAAACACAGAATTACAAAAAAAAAATATGCTTCAAATTTCATAGTTTTAGGTTCTATTTCATTTGAAATGGGACTTAGTATGGATACACATCTTGAGCTTTCTTATCTCAGAAATGTAACTCGCTGTGGTTGTTAAAAGCATGTGCGTGTCCACTTACTATATATACTCTCTATCAATATATGCACATATACATATTTTACACTCACACATACACGAACTTATCAATTATGCACCAGTACTGTATTTCTACTTCAACATTCTCCATTAACACATTCTCAGATATTTTGGGAACAAATATTTTGAATAGTTATTTGAAGAGAAAAATGTATAAAATATTGAGAAATTTTTCCCTCACAGCTTTAAATTTCATATTATAAAGGATTTTCCTCCATATTCAATTAAAATGCTAATCACAAATGCAAGCTTATAACAATCTGAAACCGCCCTAATTTTATTTCTACTAGCTATCTTCTAGCACCAAAGGGAAGTCTCATGACTTCCTGGGTACTATTTCTCCAGATAGCTAGTATTGAGTAATTTTCATCATAGGAACCTTAGGGAACACAGTTTACCCCTGTTCATTATCCAGTGGAGACATAACAGATGCCAGTGTAATGCGAGATGTTATTAGGAATTTCAATCTTCAAAGAAGGTGTGCGTGATTCAGCAAAAATTTTATCAAACCACTCCTTCTAAGTAAAGACTTGAATCAAAGAGGCATTTCTCTTCAAAGCACTAGATGAGAGCAGTCATCCCATTTTCGACCCAGATGTTAAAAGGGGCTTCTCTGCATACACTCCAAAGTGGAAAAATTCCATCAATGCAAGGAGAATGGCTGAAATGGGTCAGCCTATTGCAGCAAAGCATTAAGCAGGAGGACAACTTATCTTCAAACTTATGTTTGATAACAGCTGAAGTCCAACTTTCAGGTTAGCGTTCTTTGGTGAAAGTAAGTCTTTAATACAAGTATATGTTAAATGAAATAGAGGGAAAGGTTTGGGTTTTTTAACCCCTATCATTGTACTATTCATAGTTATAAACTTTCATCTTCATATGGAACCAATACAAAAAAAAAGAAAAGACGCTGTTTGGGAGGCAGACAAAAATAAAATGAAATTTACACATACCATTTGAAGATGCTGCTTCTTTTGCAAAATTGTATGCAGCCTTTCTTGCTGTTTAATATAAGTTTTCATTACTTCTTCCATCATTTTCCCTTTATCATCATCAGATCTAATACCATTGGCAAGAGCCTGAGATGAGGATTGTGCATCACTACTTATTTCCATTTCATCTTCTGTAGTCTCCCTGGAACTGACCTGTTCTGTTTTCCTTCTGTTTGCAGGTTTAATGGGTATGGGTTGATCTACAGAATCAAAAAGTCAGGAAGGCAATGTTTATTGGTTTTCTACAAAAACAATAATTCCATTAATGTTATTATGAAACAGTTTCAGTTTTTACTCACCTATACTAGTACAAGTTCCAGATCTGGGCTTTAAGTCAACTTTCTCTTGTCCTTCAAGAGGGATGTTCTGATAAAAGATGCTTTTTTTGCGTTTGCTACCATGCTGCTGTTTCAGTGACTGCCCAGGAAATGATTTATATACCTCTGGTATCTTTTCAATCGTTTTTGTGGTTTCTTTACACTGAGGCATTGAAGTACTAAGTGATACATTGGGAGCAACCATTTTATCACACATGTAAAAGAAATAGCTGGAAACAACAAAATTGAAAAATTATTAGAATATACAAAAATTAAATCATAGTGAATCAAGCATAATATAGAAAATAATGGAAACAAACAAGCAAACAAAAATTATTCTCTAATTCCCAGCCTGCTACACAACAGTTGTAGATAATCATTATTTTGTCTAGCTTAGGAACCATCAAATCAATTACAAAGTAAAAGAAAATACATTGTCATCAGTATACTCAAAGATCTATTGGCAAATTGAAATAGTCAATTTTGATTTTCAGAGATATTTTAACACTCACAATTTTATTAGCCCCCAAATGCATTTTAATGTATTTGTTTTATAACAGTGTAGCCCGCTGAATTCTGGGTACATCAAAGAGCAGGTGGCATTTGTGGTCAAAAGGGCTTTTGCGAACTCCATGTCACTATTAATGGTTTTATTTACAATTCCCAGTTCCATAGGAACATTTCTAGCTATTGTTTGTTCAACTGTCTGTATGATTTTAATCTCAATTATATAACTGACTTGTATACCACTCAGAGCAGGCAGATTCAATCAGGCTATAAGCAGCCTATAAATAAATATGTAAAAGCACAAAAAGGTTTTAAAAAGTATGATACTCAAAATTTTAAAGGCCTAGAGGAAATGTCCTAATCTCTTTCCAAAAAGCTAACAAAGAAGTGCAGGCATCATAAAGACGACCTTCTTTCAGATTCTCATCTCCAACTTCCTAAGGAAAGGACATCAGAAGCATGCCCTTTCAAATTAAGAAGACAAAGTGTGTCCTAAAGAAGATGAAAACCCAAGTCAAAAAGGCTTTTTAGGTCATTACCAATATTCTGAATTATATTGAAAAACCTCCTGTGAGCCGGGGGGGGGGGGGGGGGGGGGGGGGGGGCACTGCACAGATTGTAGGTTACAAACAGTATTCAGAGGGAGCTCCAAGTAGAGCACAGTACATAATCCAAATATTAAGTAATGAGGACTCCTCACTTCCATCAGAGCATCCTGTGCCAAAAACAGACATATCTGATGCAGGAGCCAAATCTAAGCAAGGTCCTCTATCTGTTTTGCTTATATAGGAACCTAACTGCAAATGAACCTGTAGATCACAGACCATCTGCTTCTAACAAAGTGCAATTCCAGGAAAAGCCAATTGTGCAGCCGCTATGGAGTTAGAATGTTTTTCAGATAAGCAGCCACTGTATCTTGTTGGATTTAATTTGACCATATTTGTTCCAACCTGACCCTCAAAATCTTTAGCCACCAGGTCAGGATTTCTATCACAAGTCCTACTCAACCTGGGATGGCAATGTATAATTGAGCATCATCACCTTACAGACAATACTTTATCCTAAATTGTTAGATGACCTCACTCAGCTGTTTCATATAGATACTAATGAAAACATCTTCCTGGGTTCTGTTACTGAATATGCTGTTGCTGCTTTAAAATTTAATGCAAAGTTTTACTGCTTTCTTAAAAGTAAAACCTTATTCAAAAGTAGCAGAACGTCTGGCACTTCACAGGTTTGTGAAATTAGCTAAGGAACAATTCAAATGACACTTTAACTGCTATATCAGCACTGTATAGACATGTCCATCAGCACAGTAGAGCTTAAAATGGTTTCAATAAGCTGCATAGCAAGTTAACTCTTTATGTGGTTAAAATACAGCTCCATTTGATTCTGACACTGATAAGCCACTGTACTCTACAATTCAATAGCACTTCTAAAATAGCCAGTAATTTTGTTTTTTTATTCTTAAAACAATCTTGAACATGGTCTGAACTTGCTATTCTCTTTCAATTTAGGATACAATGTATTATGCAGTTAATTTCCAGAAAAAAAAAGGGAGGTGTTTACCTCAGATTCACAGAAATGTAAATCAGATTAAATGTATAACTTCAAATACCAGCTGATTATAGAGACCTTGAGGATACTGAATATACAAATGGAAGTTTCAGGAGCCACCATCTTTTTTATCTGGAATAAAACAATTTGGTCCTTGTAGCACTAATAAAGCAGATGTCCCAGATATTAAGTAGCATCTGAGGATGGAAAACGCTAAAAGTTTTCTAGGTGCCTCCAAGGGAAAGTTTAAGGATTTGAGTGAAACTAGTTCTTAGCAAAGATACCATTAACAGTTATTTCAAAGAATGGAATTAAGAAAAAAATACCATGTGTAAAAGTTACATCTATTACATAATGCTTTGCTCTACATTATTAATGTAGATCCAATAGTATGTAAAACACATATTCTCCATACAACCTCAGAAAGTAATTAAATTATGTAAAACATCAATTTAACTCAGATAAGCAATGAAATTATTTATAAGCTGGCTTATGAAATAATTAAAATTTGATTCTCTGATCATTTTTATTAACAGAAGAATGTTACCTGGGATGTATAAATGAACGCGGCTGATCTGTAGAATCTGTTTCTTGCTTTATAACTGGATACCACTGCTGAAATTCTACATTATAATGGGAATCTGCCTAAGGAGGGGAAAATATTTACAATTGTTATATACCATTCCAGCTTTAAAACAAATAGCAATTGCAATTTTTAATCAATTTTTTTACAGAAACCCCCCCCCCCAAATATAAACAGCATCATTTCCATTTTCCCTACTCAAATATACCGTAAATGAAGCCATAAGCAGATTTTGTATTGTAAATGAATACCGTATGTTTCCTTTTCAGTCAAAAGAAATTGTGCAGTATTTTGATAATTTAACATTAATTATTGATCAATAAAATGGTCAATTAATATCAAATTTTATTTAATGTTGCCTATTTAAGAAATGGAATTGTGACTTTGTCAGGCAATTCACTCAACTCCTGAAAAAAACTGTAAGCATGAATAAAGTACACAAAGGTATTCATGCCTATCAAAGTGTGCAGGGAAGAAATGAAAGGCAACAATTCAAGAAAATCAACATGAGACAATAAAAGCACACTGGCTGAGTGACCAATCCAATAATAGGTAAAATTGATTGCATATGGGAAGCATCACTTGGTGCCAGCTTTTTGTTTTTAATGCATTCAGTTTTTATAGTTTTTAATGTTGTTGAGTTTGTTATAAGATGGACAACTGCTTTAAATAAATAAGATAATTAATATATCTAGGAACTCTTATTCATTCATTTGTTCGTTCATTCCTATCTTTTCAAACAGACCTTTTTAAAAAGCAGTGTTTTCTTGCAGCCTTGCAAATTGTTTTTATTTTTGTGCTTTTAGAAAAGCCAATCATCTACATTTCAAAAGTGAAGGAGAGAAAATAAGTTTTTGCAGGACCACCAGAGAAGCCTATCAAACCTATTAGCGAGAGCAGATTGTTCCACCTTTCAAAAGCCACTTGTTTAACTGTATATCAATGTGCTACCTACATCTGCTACCTAAGGCAACCAGACAGAGGTGGGATTCAAATGTTTAACAACCGGTTCTGTGGGTGTGGCTTTGGTGGTCATGTGACTGGGTGGACATGGCTTGGTGGTCATGTTATTGGCTGGGTGTAGCCAACTCAATATCACTCACATCGAGGCACGCATCTCTTCGCCTGGCCTCTCATGACTGTGGGGATGCTGCAACAGTCGTAAGTGTGAAAAATGGTCATAAGTCACTTTTTTCAGTGCCATTGTAACTTTGAATGGTCACTCCACACAAGCAAAGTACCAGCAAAGGAAGGGGAAAAAACTCCAGAGACTTTCTTGAAACAGGAAGTCTAGTCCTGCCAAGAATGTAATAAGGGTTAAAGGAGAGGCAGTTTCTGTAAGCAACACCAGAATGTTTCCTTCCTGCCTTCCTTACAGGATTAGGCCAGTAATTTCTTCTAACAACCGGTTCTCTGAACTGCTTAGAATGTTAACAATCTGTTCTAGCGAATAGGTGCAAACTGGTAGAATCCCACCCCTGCAACCAGATAAATATTTTAAGACAGCCCTGTTCTAGTTGGTATACAACAAATTGGTTTCATTTCACATTCCTGTTTATCATGTACTGCGTTATTGTGGTTGGTCACAATCAGCCAGAAATTTAGGCTGAATTTGGTATATCAAATCCTTCCCAGGTATCTGGGATAGGCAAATATTATTATTTTGGTTTCTGGCAGTCAATCAAATGTTCAGGGTGGATTTGGCACTTTTCTCCACTTATCAAGTCCTTCCAAGGAACTTGGATAGGAAGATGTGGATGTTTGATGGTGTTAAAGGTGTGGTCATAGGATGTAAGCTTTTTCTGCGCAAAACTGCCTTTTCCAATTGACAGTGATTTTGTCAATGCTGATCATGTTAAGTGGCACACTCAAGGTGCCTATTACTATTGGTACTATCTTTGCTTTCTTTTGTCACAGTTGTCTATTTTCTATTTGCAAGTTTTTTTCTATTTATTATCACCAATATCAAATTTCACTTTGAAACAGCCTGATTAAAAATAGTAAATAAAATTCAAAGTAATAGTCAAAAATGGAGACCAACAATAAAGTTAATTACTATGATAACTAGACTTTGATTTTAAGTTCTAATGTAATGAATACTTTTATTTGGTCCAAAGAAGCTTTTGCATATGAATAAAATGTTCCCATGAATAGAAAGGTGCAAAGAAATATGCCTTCATTTGTTCTGTTACATGGATGCTACTACAAAGAGCAGCATCTTCCCAATTTTTGCAGGCAATGGACTTCTAGGATTTCTAACCTTTCTCCTGACTTTCCCCCCCCCCTCCCCAAGTCTTTATTATATAATTTAAAAGAATATATTTTACTTTTGAATGGCTCTGATTCTCTCATTCATGCTTTTTCAACAATTCTTCAGAATTAGGACTATTTCATACTAGAAAGGTATCCCTCCCCACATCATAGCCCAGATAGTTTTTCCTTTTCTGTTCGAAATGTGAAGATTCCCCTGTATTCTTCATTTTAACACTTGTTACTTTGCTGTTCACAAATCAGAAGTGTTAGAAGCACTGCTGAAGCAGCAAAGTGTTTCTGCACTTTATGTTAATGCATATATAATAGGAACAATTGAAGGTTTTTATTTTTTTAAAAAATATATTGCGTATTTTGCATTCTATTTCTAAATCCACTTTAATTTTGGGAGCCAGAGCTACAATTCTGCAGTTAGACTAAAAAAAGGAATATATGAAACTATTTTGAATTCTGATGACATTTGTTTTTACAAAGGAGGCTAAGTAAATTAACTAAAAAAAGTGTTTGAAACTATAGCAGAAATGTATGTCTTGTCTTAGTCCATGAGTGCATGTGTAAGTATGTATACAACAGCTCTATTCACTGTGGCCTTGTAAAGTGTAGCTTCACATGGCTGTATCACATAGTGATAGCAACCCCAGCAGTCTCTACTGCCAAAAAAAGGATCATTGAGACCTCATGTAACTGAGACTTGCAACTTCCTACCAATTTCTAACAAGCAAAGTCAATGGGGAAGCAGCAGGAAGTAGCAAGTCCCAATCACAAGCTTTCCCTTAGGTGGCTTGCAAGCAGGCCAGTCAGCTGACTATTATGGAGCATAAGGGGACGGAATGGGCATTGTGGCACGAGTGCAGCAGGGAGGTGGGCATTAAATGAGTGCAATGGGTGTGCGTAGGTGGGCACTGTGATGTTAGTACAGGAGAGATGCTGCAGTGTGGTCCCAGGACAAGCAGGTGGTAGGGCCCACACTCATCCTGCCACTGAGTATTCCTCAGGACAAAAAATATCTGCAGAAGCAACTGATAGGAGTGATTTACAACCCCTCGTGCCAGTTTTCCACCTGCCTTTCCTGTGAGAGGCTGTAGGGAAGGTTGCAAATGGCAATCACATGTCTGAGGAACGTTGAAGTCATCCGAAATGTGTTCTAGTTGCCTAATCCCCGCTACAACTTAGAGGACCCCAGTCATAAATCCTTGTTTTGCATCATAACTTTGAAGGCCCACAGAATGAATGGTCATTAAACAAGGACTATCTGTATTTGTAATATACATAAGCAGTTGTCTTCTAATGAGCCTAAGAAGGAATTCAGATCAAAACTAGAGATCATCCTTTCCACAATTAAAGCCTCTATAAGTCTGAAATAAGATACATAAGGTTTATTTCCCACGTCATTATAGTTGTGCTTTTAAAGCACAACTATACACACACACACACACACACACACACATATACACATACATACATACACGCACACAGCACAATAGCTTGAAAATACACCGCAAATCATATATCAAACAGGATGAGGTCATTTATAAGACTTAGGCCTTTAATTTATTCAGTATTATTTATTAGTATACACTATTATGAAAGGTAATTACTTTAGACAAATATAGTACTGCAGCTGAATGCAAAACAAGCCAATTGGCTACATCATTAATGAGTAAATAAATCATGTTAAGCTTACAAATGTAATTTCAGCTTCCATAAGCTGAGTTGTATTCTATTTACATACAGTTAACCAAATAATCTTTTAAAAACTGATCTGTACTACAAGACTAATTTAAAACATGATATTATTGCCAGTCATCATTATCATGACTGGATTTGCACCTATATGTATAGCCTTAAATGAACCCTATTTCTCTCTGCTTTATTTTATTTTATTTTTACTTTACCCTTCCAATGTGCAGGCAAACAAGATACAGATACAGCTACAGATAATCAGAGTTGGAAGGGACCTTGTAGGTCATTTGGCCAACCCCCCACCCAAGCGGGAGACCCTACACCATTTCTGACAAATGACAGTCCAATCTCTTCTTGAAAGACTCAACTGATGGCACTCCCATAACTTCTGAGGGCAAGCTGTTCCATTGGTTGATTGTTCTCACTGTCAGAAAGTATCTCCTTGTTTCCAGATTAAATCTCTCCTTGTTCAGTTTCCACCCATTATTCCTTGTCTGGCCTACAGGAGCTTTAGAAAATAGCTTGACCCCTTCCTCCTCTCTGTGGCAGCCCCTCTTCACTAAACTAGCAATGCCCAGTTCCTGCAACCGTTCGTTGTATGTTTTAGCCGCCAGTCCCCTAATCATCCTGGTTGCTCTTCTCTGTACTTTTTCTACAGCCTCATCTTTTTTATAATGTGGTGACCAAAACTGGATGCAGTACTCTAGGTGTGGTCTTACTAAGGCTTTATAGAGTGGTATAGAAGCAAACTAGTCCTTCCTTTCATGGATGAATTTGGTCCTATAACTGGGAACTCAATGCTACCAAACATGGTATCCCCTCTGGAGCAAATTTTCCTTTTCAAAAACCTGATCTGAGCATTTTCCAGCTATGAATTTTCAGTCTCCTTCCTGATTATGTATGAAGAAAAACATAGATGATTCTCCTACATCTTTGGCATATGCCAGGAAAATTTCAAATTGTTCAGGGATCAGGAATATAAAATGGCTAGGTTTACAAACATGCTTCACCTGACTACTGAATTAATCCATGTTATAAATGCACATAATCCTTTAAATAGTAACTAATTAGACAGCAGGATTCACACAACTTTCTAAGATTAAAACTATTCCACGTTGTATGAATGCAGCCATTAGATCTTTGACTGGTATAGTTAAATATGCTGTGTTCACACAACCTATAAAGCACAAACCCAATGCTTGTTGAGAAAATTTGAATGACATGTTTTCCTCATAATTTTAAGTAGAATGGCTTGATTTGTACATGTAGATGATAAAAAGAAAAATTATGTGGCTTAGCATATTTGACCAAACAGATGCTCTTCATGAAAGACCTAAGAAATGTTCCTACAGTCTTTAAAGAATCCTTGATGGCCATTATGATTTGTCTCAGGATCAATCATGTTGTTTTGTTTTTTGTCACGCAAAAAATATGTTTAACTGTTGCCCAGAATAAAGGCTTTAGCAGTACTAATAATTGGGAGTGGGGTTCCTTGGAGTCATTGCTGACTCCTGGCAACTACCTGAACAAGAAGACCCTGTAGCTTTCTTGGCAAGATTTCAGAAATGATTTGCACTGTCTCCTTCCTAGGACTCACAGGGAGAGACTAATGCAAAGTCATCAGCTGGCTGTGTGCCTAAAGTCGGATTAGAACTCATGGTCTCCTGTACCACTTACAGCAATATCACTAAGATTTATATACTGCTTCACAGTGCTTTACAGCCTTTTCTAAGCTGTTTACAGAGTCAGCATATGGACCCCAACAATCTGGGTAATTTTACCGACCTCAGAAGAATGGAAGGCAGAGTCAACCTTGAGCCTGTGAGAATCATTCTGCTGCCAGCTGGCAAAATTAACCTGCAATACTGCATTCACTTCACCACCATGGCTCATGGTAATTAATTGTTCCTTGTTTCTAAGAAATTCCACATTAAGCAGATACTTATCACATATTTCCTTGTGCATTTCAAGCTACTTCTCAACAGTAGAATGTAGTGGCAGGGTGTATATTTTAGTTAGGAGGTTTACAATCTCAGCTTTAAGCCACTTATGTGGAGGCTATCAAGGCCTGGTGATTTGTTTATGGAGATCAAAACATAAGCAAAAATCACCACTTTGTAGCTTAATGTTAGAAAAGCTCATTATGTAAGTAAACCAGAAAGTGTAAACTCGGGTTAATGTTAAATATTAAAAGGTAATGTCAACCAGTGTGGTTAGTGAACTTACAATTGACAACCAAGAAGTGAGTAATGGGGGAGGGGTGAATTGGGCAGAGAGGCTTAATAAAGCATAAAACTAGATTGTCTATTTAAGAAATACAGAAGGAATTAATTGTAGAGAGGGATGCAATTACAAACATAAGACTATGAAAAATAAAGATATTTCTACAACAAAACCATTATAGTAAACCATTGGTCTTTCTGGTATCACTATAGTGAAAGCAACGATCTCTCAGGTAATAATGTACAGCTGTGAAAGCTGGGAATTGAAACCAAATAAGATAAAGATAGATGCCTCTGTTATGGCTCTGGAGATGCTTATTAATAATAACATGGATCACAAGAAAAATAAATTAGCCCATCCTGGATCCAATTGATTGCTCCTTTATGGCAGTGTCAATCAGCAAAAACTCACTCTAATCATGATGGAGTACAAAAACAATTTAGCAACATAGAGGGAAATAAGAGAGAACTAAAGTAGACAGAATCAAGAAGATTACAGGATTGGCCATAAAAGAGCTATGTCATACTACTGCAGACAGATCAAAATGGTTATTATCTAACTATGCAATTATCAGAAGTCAAACCAGACTTGATGGAACCTATCTAATCAATGGTATTCTTCCATGATGGATACCATTTAGCCATGGCTCTGTAAGTACAGTATTTGCAAATCTCCTATTTTTTAAATAAAAATCCTTGCTCCAACACTCCTGAATGTCTTTTCATACTGCTACACATGCAGACTGAACTGCATCTTTACCTTTTATCAATGCACAATTCATGATTATTTTAGGCATTCATTATATCTGAAACAAAATCACTTAAAACATTTTTACAACAAAATTCTATGCCTTGTCATGGACATACATCAGAAATAACTATTCAAGTACAGTATTTGAAGCAT